ACGGGTTAGGGTTAGGATAGGAGCTGTGGAGGGTACAGGTACGGGTTAGCTGCTGTTCTTGTAGCTTGGTAGGTGGTTCCTCCATCTTGGAACGAAACATGCAAACAGTCTGGATGGTCTTAATCGTGGTGAAGGCTCTGCTAGACCACAGGCCACTGATGACCGGAGTGATCGAGTTGTGACATAAGCCTTTGCAAGAGGATTCAAGTAGATTCAAGCCGTACCCTAAAGCACTTTGTAGGCCTTGTTCTTCTGGAAGATCACTAAGACTTGCTGTCTTGGTCACAGATGCGCCAGCAAGACGTGCACCAACAATTGGTCCTCTTTTGAACTCTGGTACGTCACCCATAATGTTGTGTACCATGCAATATTTTGAGCAAAACTGTGCTCTTACTCTGGTAATTGGACCTTCACAGTCTGCTCTTATTGGTTCAATGTGCAATTAATGAAGATTGGCCACCAGGCTGGTCCAATTTAGCCATGAAACCTCCCACAATAAAATGAGAGTTGTTTCAGTTTCATTGTCCAACCCCTGTAAATATGAAGCTATAAATTGCCCTCTCAGGGTGGAATGTCCTTCCCCAAGCGCCCTTGTTCTACTTGCGGACTTTAATGCTCACGTGACCAATGACAGTGAGACCTGAAAGTATTTGGTCGGGAGGAATGCCCCCCCACTAACCACTACCTGGTGGTGAGTTGGCTCCAATGGTGGGGAGGATTCCGGTTAGGCTTGAGAGATCCAAACGTATTGTAAGGGTATCTTAGGAATGGCTAACAGATTCTCCTGTGTGTCCATGCCTGTGACGGCAACCCTGAAACCTTCAGGCTTAGAAGGAGTTCTATCAGACCTTTTTGGCCTGTGGGACTTAGGTATAGGGCCTGGTGTGGTTCTGTCCTGGCTGTGGAACACTGGACCATCTCTATTCCCCTTAGCAGGATCCTGGAGTTCACCCAACCAGTCTACATGTTTTTTCTGGAGTACTGGGGGTGAAATAAGTATTTGACCCCTTCCTGATTTAACAGGTTTGCCCACTTACAAAGAATGCAACGATCTATAACTTTAATCATATGTACATTCTAACAGTGAAAGACAGAATCCCAAAGAAAATTCCAGAAAATCACATCATATGAATTTTTAAAAATTGATAACCATCTGATGAGGAAAAATATGCATTCTTTGTAAGTGGGCAAACCTGCAAAATCAGCAAGGGGTCAAATACTTATTTCCCCCACTGTATGTCCCTTGGGGTATCCTGTGGGAGGTGCTCCTGGAGTATTGGGTAGCAGGG